AAATTAAAGGATTTGGCAAGTTATCTGTACACCAAGACACTCTAGAAGTTGGTAGTACGCCCTTCCTTGAAGTGGGTTATGCCCTTTCCTTGGCGTGGAAAAGTAACGCGTCCTACAATGATAATAAAGTGAGGAAACATGAGGATATATTTCTGGAAGCGTACTCGACTACTCGATTTTTCCAGATTACCAAGGAAAATTATCATGAGACTGGAAGTATCCAATCTCCTAAAGAGTTTTGGAAATGTGAGAGATAGCAAAGAGTTATTTAGGATACTTGCCATTCTGTGTATCCAGGATCGACAGTGAAACCATATATGTCGACGATATCGCACATGGACAATGCTAGTTCAATGGATTTCATCCCGGTGCCTTTGGCACCTCTGCGTAGGACAATTCCTTGGAAAAGATAAACAGGGTTTGGTATAGTCTGTTACAAAACAAATACAAAGCCGCGTAAGAAAATCATGTATCCCATGTAAAAACAAAAAAAAGGGTAACCACACCTTTATCATTTCGTTGAAGTCTCGGTGGGTCACACTTTTTATTATAAGCACCTCATTGTCTGCAGTAAATGAAAGTTACACAAGGGCAAACCTGAAATGAGTATTTGAAGAAAATGAATCACAAGATGCATATAAATTGTCAGCCTAATATGAGTACTGACCAGACCCATTGAGAATTTTAACCATGTTACGAGCTGCACCACGTACGACTAGTCGGAAATCCCTTTTCACTCCTACGTACTTGGCATACTTCTGCAACAAAATTTAACGTGAGCATAGGCAATGCCAGCAACAAAAATCACAATTCAAGATCATGAGGAAACGACAATCAGTAAAGTTAAAGAAATCACAAATAAGAACGTTAGACCTATTACTACCTCATTTACAGGAGCCTCATTGTCACGGAATACAGCATCATGACTGTCAATCTCTTCTCCGAACTCTGTTTTTAAAAGATCTCCAGAGTTTCCAACGACAGCACATTTATGAAACTGTCGTGGGTGGAAAGGAGGCTTCGCGGGAAGGATCACATTAAGATGCTCCTCACACAATGTACGATTATAACACTTATCAGCTCCACTGAAACCCG